AGCCAGGAGGCAGCTAAGCTCACCAACATTGCTTAAAGTGAAAAATCTGATGCTGTAATATAAATAAGAAAGACATTTTTCAAGATCTTTCAACACAGTTGCCCTTTTTATATAAAGTATCCTTGCTTTTGGTTAAAAAAATATGACCTGCAAAAAAGTAAAAGCCAACAGTCAGCAGCATACCCCTGTGAGTTTATGCAAGTCATGATGTTTTCATAGAATATTGATTGAATGACACAAAAAAGCACTATAAAAACTCTCTTAAAATGTGATCGGACACTTTATTCTATTTCCACAGGCAAACCTGTGACACCTGTGACAAAGACGTCCTTTAAAAATGGAGAAATAAAAACAGATTTGAGGTATTTCGATCTTTTAGTAGTACAAGAAGGCCTAAATGGCAGGGACCCACACCCAGTACTGTGAAAGCTCTCACAAGCAGCGCTTCCTTTTGTGACCGCTAGAGGTCGCCACTGCTTTGTGTTGCACTCTTGATTCTGAAGGAGTCTGTTCAGTGGTCTTCGTGAATTGTCCGAGGATTCTTAATACTCGAATTAAGTCCCCTTACAGTATTCTCTGTTCGGGACTAAAACGTTTTGTTTTCTTTAGCCAGTGAGTGTGGCAGATTCCTTTCAACCTGGGAATTGGTGTGGCTGCTCTTCTTAGGACATGTTGTAGTTCAATTTAATTACTGTATTGCTTTTCATAGCAATAATTGATCCCAATGAATTGTTTTACATATCAGAAGGGTGTCTACAGTGCTGTCAGTAAGGATTCACTCCTGGTATTTTTTCCCACAATTTATTACGCTGAAAAATCAAATACAAATACATCTATACAGGATTTGTTGTTGCTGATCTACAAAAATTACTTATTAATGTCAAAGTGGGATGAAAAGTCTTGAAATGTTGTACTGTTAAAGAAAACACTGATCTCTTGATCTGGTAAGTATTTACCCACTTTGAACAGCACTTCTAAGTGAGCTCATGTGCATCTAATTTGCTTGTGCGACCACTCGAAAACATGAACTGGAGTCCACCTGCAGTCAGTTCAATTGGTTGGCATGACTTCAAAAGAAATTCATCTGGCTATATAAGGTCCCTCAGTTGTCAGTGCATGTCAGAGCACAAACCCTACCCTGAAGACCAAGGAGCTGTGGTAGAGTCTGTGAGAGGAGAGCTAGATCTGGAGAGGGTATAATTACATATCTCTAGTGCTGAAAGTTCCCAGGAGCACAGCCAGGTCAATCATCAGGAAACCACCCCGATGGAAGAGCCTGTCCTGAGGACAATCATCTCTGCAACACTGTAGCTTGTAGCTTCTATGGGAGAGCAGCTAGCTGGAAGTTTCTCCTGAGAAAAGACCACATTATAGCATACCTGAACTTTGCCAGAAGGCACATTGCAGACCCTGAGATCATGTGGCATAAGATTCAGTGGTCTGAGGGACCAAAAGATGAACTCTTTGGCCTGAATGCAAAGCAAAATACCTGGCACAAACCGAACGCTGCTCATCACCCACGTAACACTGCCGTGAAGTATGGAAGTGGCAGCATCATCTTATAGAGATTTTTTGTTTTAGAAGCAGGGACTGGGGCACTTGGTCAGGCTAGAGGGAATCGGATACAGGTCATCCTTGATGAGAACCTAACCCAAGTCAGTGCAAGATCTTAGACTGGGGCAGAGAAAAGGACAACCACCCCAAGCACACAGTTAAAGTGACACCGGAGGGGCTTCAGAACAAGAAGGTGAACGCCCTGGAGTGGCCCAGCCGAAGCCCAGACAAGAATCCTGTAATACTGGCCGTGTATGCCAAACTACCTGTGAAACTACATTACCCACAAGGCCCTGCGTGTATGACGTCAGTTGGGCGAAGATGTCGGTTAAGTAAAGGCACACGAATATTCACGCCTATTCTCCGAGTCTCTTTATTGAACAACAAAATTACGAGAACA